TTCTGTACGATAGTGCACCTAGCGCAAATAGAAGAAAAAAAGGAAAGCTATACGAGGTGAAAAGGATAATCAGCAGAAGGAAGGTTCGTTGGGTGAGTATCTGTTTCCTGCAGTGAAGAATTTTAGTTGTACCACGTGTCTTGTCAGAACCCATTAAGCTTGTGAAGTCATAACAACTGCTGCCTTTCCCATCAGCATTTTTCTTTTCCCATACATTAAAGGACACACCACGATTGCTAGTAGCAGCTTTGAGTGAATCCAAGTGTTTGGTTGTTCTCTGGCTAGGGGGCTCGTTTAAATTTTCCTTTTTGTCCCGGCTGAGGGCTTCTCTAATTAAGTTGTTAGTCAAAACATCTGTAGATACAAGTAAAATATAACTCGTAAGTAACCTCTCCAAGTTCCCAAGAGTTATTTTTGCCTCATCAAGAAGGCAAATATTTTCCTTCTATTCCCCTAACATTTCAAACAATGTCAGTAGGATGAGTTCATTATGTTGCATAAGAACAAAACAGACCAAAAGAGTTTCACAAAACAAACTACATGTACCTGTAACTCTCAGCATCAAAATGTAGCTCATCAAGTATAACATTTTGTAACAGAATTTCAAGCAAGGGCTGATGGGCACAGGAAAACTTCTGATTCTTCGCAGAGTCCTTCGTGGTTTGAAGAGTTCTCACAAGATGTTCTTGCCTGTAATAATCTCTGGCTTTAGACATGTCATGTCTATATTTTGAATACAAACAAAATAAATACAAAAAATATTGAGTTTATTTCATAACCTAACAATTGAAGGGGTGAGTGGAATAAAGCCTTAAGTGACTTCTGATAAACTGTTGGATTCTCGTTCCAGTTTGTCTTGTATATGCTCATGTAACAAAGGGAGAATTTGGCTTCAGATCAGGAGTCACTTAGGGCCTTATTCCAAATAATGTTTCAAATAAGGCCCTAAGTGACTCCTGATCTAGCCAAATTCTCCCTTTGTTTCATGAGCATATACAATACAAACTGGAAGGAGAATCTAGCAGTTGATCAGAAGTCAGTTATTATTCATGCAGGCAGACTGCTGGAAGGTGAAGGATATTTACCTGTCTCTCTTGTGAATAGTACACCAAAGGCATGAATAATCTGAGGTTGCACCCTTCATACCTAGTATGAGTAGAAGAAACTGCAAAACAAACCAGGGTAATAAGGACAACAAAATCAACAGTCTTTTTTGCCATTGTACTTGCTGGGATTTTGAAATGGTCCATACTTAATTAGTTATACACACATAAAATTTACATGCAGTATATACTTTACCTTATAGTCTCTACCCAGAAACATTTCAATTGGTATCTCCTTTTGATCAACTGTTACCTTGCCTTCCCTCACAATCTTGTTAATGGCATTAAACAGAATGATCTTTACATGAGGCCTTCAGAAGATCATAGCTTTCTTGACTCTTTATTACTGCAACTGTATTGTTCCCTAATAAAGACAAGTATTAAATAAATGAAAGAGATAAAAGGAACTTCACAGGGAACGATAAATTGCCACTCACTGCATGATGTGTTACCTTTTGATGACATGACATCATCATTATCCACAACTGAGTATGACATAATGACAAAGTTTGCAAGCCTGGACATTCTTGTGCCATCACCACTTTTCTTAACGTTAAATTTTGCATCTGGTTCATCTTGGATTTTCTGCAGATCATGATCATGATCACTATTATTAACATGATCATTACCATCATTATTACTATTATAATTATAGT